GATGCTAATATCACAACATAAGACAGTACAACCTTAAAAAACCCCCACAGTCCTTAAAAGATCCAAACACTTAAAAGTTCATAGTCTCTCTTAAAAGTGTCTTAACTGTGGGCTTCAGTAAAATCCAAAACAAGTACTGTCTTATTTCAAAGGGAAGAATAGGGCACACCTAAGCAAAACCAAAGTCCAGCAAAGTAGCTCGAGGCTGGACATCTGGGATTCACTCACTATCTTCTGGACTCCAAAGGGTACTAGCAGCTCCACTGCTCTGACTGCAGTCCACAGCACACTCAGCTCGTCTCGCAGACCCAGGCCAGCTCCATTCCACACTTACTGCTGTCCATGGTGGTCGTTCCATGGTCCTGGCATCACCAAAAAGCTGAGGTCTCCACTGAAACTGAGGCTACGCCTTCACCAATGGCCTCTTCTTGCCTGTTGGGGTGCAAAGCCTCAGATTCTCTCCATGACCCTTTCAATCCCAGGGTCTTCGCTGCAACTGAAGCTGCACTTTCACCTATGGCCTTTCCTGGCCTCTCAGAGTGCCAAGCCTTGGCTGCTCTCTGTGACCCCTTCACACTTTCAACACCAGAACCATGCAGGAGACTCTTACACATTACCAAGTCCTGCTTTCAGCTTGAAATAGAGGCGCAGGTCCCCTCTGTGTGCTGACCCTGAGGAAATACCTCCCAGAAGACTCTACCACAGTGATGCTGGTCTCTTGTTACTTACAGCTGATTTTTCAGCTCCAGCTAACCAGCATCAATTGTCCCAGTAAAGCAAAGGTTTTGCTTCAGGTTCTGGTCTCTTCTTAATCACAGCTGGTTCTTCAGCCCCAGCCGACCAGAACCCACAGATTCTCAATCCAAAATCTCACACAAACAGCCCTGATAGTCTCTGCTTCCCTTTGAAGCTTCACAAGCCAGGCCTCCATGTTCTACAACTCTTTCAGCATAACTGTTCCAAGCTCCACTGCAACAAACTCTGAGCACGCAATGGCTTTTCCAGCCCAAAGTTCCAAACACTTCTACAGTCTTCCCCAAAACACCAAGGTCAGGTCTGTCACGGT